TCACGTGACCTTGCCAAGTCCTGCGCGAGACGGTCAGTAAACGTTCTTGCGCGAGGTCAGTCGTCCGAGTGAAGGGCCCACTGATGGTTGTGGGCAGGTGGTGGTGCTCTCAGCTTGTGTGGGGTTAACAGCAAAGGATTTCGGAAGAAGATCCACAAGTGCATTCCAAACAAATGAGTGATTATTAAGACCATTTCAAGACCTTCGTTGTAAAAAGAGGACGCCAGCATGTTGTCCCGGAAGGACCAGGCGATGCTCCGGGAGCTGGAGGAAAGACAGAACAGAAAGGTGAGGTTGTTGCAACAGTGCCAGGCAAGGGTCGACCATTTGCAGAGGTGATGAGGGAAATATTGCTCAACTTATCTGGAAGATAAGAGAAGAAAAGGGAAAAAATGGGTTGTGTCAACGTAATAGGAAGGGAAAATTATTATGTGCATGATGTGTGTGCCAAATCTTTGGATAATTGAACTTACTTTTACTTTCGTGCATGAGGAACGTAACTTGAAATCTGCAGGCCTCCCTACCATGAGGCACACATCCATACATATGCACAGATATATAAAATGAATATGCATATGCATGCATGTGTGTGTATGTATATATATATATATACACATATACATATACATATACATATATTTATATACATATGGTAATTTCACCGATAGCGACGCACCCTCCCAGTCGAAAAAAAAAATCTGCAGGAAATCCAATGATTTCATCGATTCTCGGCGTTGTTTCTTTGCGAATTAATCGTTTAGGAGTTCGAGTACCATTTCTCCATCGACGATCTTGGTTTGTTAGTCCCGTTAGCAGGGGAGGGCATGAAGTATATCAGGGAAATAACGGGGTAAAACAGGCTTGAGTAAGAAGAATAACGATGAAGAATGCGTATAACTAACACAAAAAATGCTCAAACTCGGCCAATTAAACTCTATAGACGTAACCGCCATCTTTGAAATTCTACGGACCGACGCGACAAAATTCAAAAACTCTGGGGAACCCAACCCAGGGGGCATACCGGTCGTCAGTAAGTGTCCACAACATCTAATCGTCACTCTTCGTCTTCTATTATTAAACTGGGAGTAGAATCAGATTTGTATCCGACTTGATTTACGGCCGGTTTGTTAAGATTATGAGGCCCGACTCAATGAATGTTCGTAAATACAGTTATGCATATACACAGAAATAAATGCATATCTATCTATGACACCACGAGTTTATAAATAAAAGTGGCGAGATTTTCGAAATGACGAGGATACATGGGGTACGCAATTCCTCGTATGGTTTATGAATTGTTAACAAAACATTTTTTGCTAGTCAGTTCACCAATTACCTTTATTTGCTTGTAGGAAACCAAAGATAAATAGTTTATCCATACGGGCTAAGAGAGCAACGTCACAAACTATCACTTTGGAAGCTCAGAAAGCATTTTTCGACATGTCGCCCCCACCCTCATAAGCTCTTGTACGTACAATGCAATCCAAAACATATTCATTAAACATACGTGCATTTACACCGATATATATAAATATCTATCAACATAGACATATATATCTATCGGGCAGATAGGTAGATGAATGAATATCATCAGACAAATAGACAAATATCGATTTATTTCTGTGTATGTGCTTGTCCGTACATATGAATATTTATTGGGTCGTGCCTCGCTCAGTCTTAACAAACTGGCCGTAAGTCTGAAGAAAAGACTCGTTTCGGAGGGAGGGTGGAAGAGGGAGATGGAAAGATAAGATGGAGGATAAAAAATTATGCTCCTACGGGAGAAAGAGCCAGGCCTTGACACGTGTTCTTACTTGTGCATGTATGTATGTAAAAACTGGAGAAGACCATTTTTATCTGGCAATGCCTGTTTAATTTGTAGTATTTTTGCTAACATGACAGTCTGGTTAAATAGATTTAGAAATCTGCAACAGGAAAGAAATGGTATTTAGTAAATATTGTCAGAATGTTATGATTCAATTTCTAAAACTTAAAAACGAAGATGCACTTTGATCTGCAATAAGTTTATCAAAAAGAAAAAAATATGGCAAATGCATTTATGCCACTTTCAGCAAGAGAAGTCAAGCGGGTAAATGTGTAATTATTTATTATGTGTAGATAATCCAAACATGTTTCGAATATAAAACAGAAGTTACGAAAGGCACAAACTGATTTTTATTTACGGCATAAAGAATATTCGCAATGTTTCTACGCCTGACCCTCCGGCCTCGGAGATTGTTGTCCAAGTTATGAGAAAATTGCTTATTGATGATTAGGGTGTTTGACAGTACAGTAGACATGCAACGCAGTGAGTCAAGCCTTAGTTATAGAAGCAACTGTGACCTTGAACTCATACTTATATATGAGAGAGAGCGAGCGTGTGTGTGTGTGTGTGTGTGTGTGTGTGTGTGTGTGTGTGACGTGAGTGAGTGTGTGTGTGTGTGTGAGTGAGTGTGTGAGTGAGTGAGTGAGTGAGTGAGTGTGTGTGTGTGTGTGTGTGTGTGTGTGTGTGTGTGTGTGTGTGTGTGAGAGAGAGAGAGAGAAAGAGCGTGTGTGTGTGCGTGTGTGTGTCTGTGTGTGAATCTCGTTTATAGATGCATTTTATATGCTGATGTTTACCGTTCGCTTCGAGGATTCCTCTGCCTTTTATAGAAGAAATACAAGTCGACATAGCGATTTCAGTTGAAATGTGGATATTTGTTTGAACTTCTTAGGCATGATATTTATTACGTATTTCTTTAGGCAAAAACAAGCTCATACATCTGATTCCTATTAATATCTAGGTGTTCTTTTTAAATACTGAACCAGTCTTTTAAGTCATACTTGTTTGTTTAGTATTCTCTCCCTTTCCATATTTCGCACGACTTATAGACAGACATACAGACAAAGACAGAGACAAGCAGAGACAGGCCGACAAATGCGGAAAAATGTAAATAAGCGTGTGCGTGTGAGTGAGTGTTCGGTTTGCGTGTGCACATGAAGGCAGTATGAAAGCAAGTACTGACCTATGAGGGGCGGTGGTATGATGTCGCTTGATTTGTGTCAAGTGAAAGGAGTTTTGTATATTTTAACCTGTTCAGGGCAAGTTCTTAGAGTTTCTTTGTCCTTCATATGTCGTATCTTTTTAAAGCTGGAAAGTTTAAAACACTTGTTATTATGTATCGTTCAGTTGTATTATATTTGAAATAGGTAATGAAAGGCAACTCTTGTTCACAAAATGTAATACTTGTTCCATTAATAGCAACGTTCGCTCCTTCAAACGTAACACTTAATCCAATCAATCCGAATGCTTGTTCCATCAAATGTAACACTTGTTCAATCACAATTAACATTTGACCAATCAAATTTAACGCTTCTACACATCAAATGTAATACTTGTTCCACAAAAGTAATGCTTGTTCCATCTAAGGAAACGTTTGTTCCATTAGATGTAACACTTGTCCCATCAAATACATCACTTGTTCCACCAAATGTAACGTTTTTCCACTGAATTTAACACTTGTTCCATTTAATGTAATGCTTGTTTCATAAAATGTAACCCCTGTACCATTAAATATATCCCTTGTTCCATCAAATGCAACTCTTGTACCATCAAATGTATCCCTTGCTCCATCAAATATAATCCTTGTACCATCAAATATAACCCTTGTACCATTAAACATAACCCTTGTACCATCAAATATAACCCTTGTATCATCAAATATAACCCTTGTATCATCAAATATAACCCTTGTACCATCAATTATAACCCTTGTATCATCAAATATAACCCTTGTACTGTCAAATATAACCCTTATACAATCAAAATAAACCTTATACCATCAAATATAACCCTTACACCATCAAATATAACCCTTGTACCATCAAGTATAACCCTTGCACCATCAAATGTAACTTGTTCCATCAGGTATAATGCTTGATCCATCAAATAAAACTTTTGTTTGCTCAATTTCAACATATTTTATCCAAAGTAATATTTGTTCTGTCAAATAAAATGCAATTCCTATTCCACAACTGGTAATACTTAATCCACCATAGGTAATACTTGTTCTATCAAATGCAACCCTTGTTCCAACGTATAAATCCTTGTTTTACCTTATATAATAACACTTGCCTCACCTACTGTAACTCTTGTTTCCTTGATGTAACATTTGTTCTACCTTATATAACTATTATTCCACTTAATATAACACTTGTTCAAGCTAATGTAATGCTTGTTCCATGTGAGATTACATCTATTCCACTTTGTTCCACCTAAGATAACACCTGCTCCAGCTAGTACAGCAATTTTGTTACATGTTCCAGTTGGTGCAACATTTATTTCTCTCTGCCCCATATTCTGTCTGATATAATTTTTGTTCCACTATATGCAATCCTTCTAACTGGAGTAATTGCTTTCCAGAAAATGGAGCTTTTTCACACAGTAGAACAGCAAGTTTATATAAAAGTACAAGTTATGATGGGCCAGTTGTAACACTTTTTTAAACTGAATATGGAACATCTTTATCCAAATGTATTTGTCTGTGAAATCAAATTAATCAATTTTAAACCTTCTTCCACATAGTGTAATACATATTCTGCTAAAAAGAACACATTGTATTGCATATCATACTAAATGTAGCACCTTGTCCACAACTCGGAACACCTGGAAACATGTACATGACATGTGTTTCACATAGCATGATTAATCCCACCAAGTATGCCCATAAGTACAACTCTTGCCCATAAACAAGAAATGTATCACATTTTCCACCAAACTTAACTTTGTGTTACCAGATATAGCTACCAAAGGTAACATTTCTTCATATGCAATTTACAACACGTGTTATGTTCTGGTGCTAGCTAAATGTTACTATATTTTACTACCACAATTATGATAATGTATTTTTCCGGCAACAGTAACTTGTGTCATCACCTGAAGTGATATCATCAATGAAATAACTAGATTTATTTCTATTACATAATAACCATAATGATTTATGAATCTCTTCTTGTTACAGAAACTGGCATACCCAAAGTCAGTATTCTTCATCATCGGGAATGAGTTCTGCGAGAGATTTTCCTACTATGGCATGAAAGGTTTGATTTTTTTTCATTGTTTGTCACAAAATAAGTGTTTTAGGAGCTAGATGACTTTATCTTTGAGCAATAATGATAAACAAAAATTAAGAATAGAATTTATTGATATACCCTCTCTTTCCTCTTCCTCCAGCCATCTTGACACTGTACCTGAAGTTCCAGCTGATGTTTAGTGAGGATGATTCTACTATTATATACCATGTATGGGCTATGCTGTGCTATTTCACACCAGTAATTGGAGCCATTATTGCAGACACTTTCCTTGGACGTTTCAGGTGTGGCTCCTTATATTTTGTTACATAGCCATTTTCTTAGTGTTGTTAGCTTGTGCATTTCACAGTTTAGAGAGACTAAAACAGCTGACTTTCACTTAGATTTAAATATTTACATTTTCAGGGTACTTTTTGTGCTATTTTGTTAAAGTCTGTCATTATGACATCATGGAATTTACCTGAATTAATGTTAAATGCCCTCTATACTCCTTCCAATCTTGATAAAGATTGTACTTTTTTATTTTCAGAACAATCTTCTACATTTCCATCATTTATGTGATTGGCAATGGAGTACTGTCTCTCTCAGCCATACCACCTATTATGCCGGATCTTAGTACAAAGATGTAAGTGGCTTGACAAATTCATTTTTATATTGAAAAACAGAAGAAAACTTACTTTATATAAATTTATTAACATGTTTTTTTTCCAGAGCTGTTTCACTAATAGGGCTACTCCTAATTGCCCTGGGAACTGGAGGTATCAAGCCCTGTGTATCAGCCTTTGGGGGAGACCAGTTTGTTCTCCCTCAGCAAGAGCGACAACTTGCTCAGTTTTTTTCCATCTTCTACTTCAGGTTAGTTACTTTTCTAGGGTTTTGTTTTTAAGATAGTGTGTCTGCACTAAATTTTAGTCACAAGACTGAATAAAATTTGCTAGAGGCTGTTAAGCATACTCTGTGACTAGTTAAAATCTTTATAAAATTAACTTTAAAGTTTGTAACTTTGGTTTTGAAGCAACTTATCCTTATTCCTCCCTTGACAGTATCAACGCAGGTTCTCTTATATCAACTTTTGTAACACCAGTCTTAAGAGATGACATAAAGTGCTTCAATGATGACTGCTACTCTTTAGCCTTTGGAGTTCCAGCTGTCTTAATGCTTGTTGCCCTAAGTAAGTTGCTCCTATTACTGTACAATGAAATAATACTCATGGAATTGCAGAGGTGAATCAAATTTGCAGAATCAGTGAATCTTAAAATTACTGGTTTTAGTACTTTTAGTTAATGTGTGTGTGTGTCTCTATGCATGAAGTATAGCAACATGTACTTCCCAGTTCTGTTCCTGCTCGGATTTTCAATGT